GAAGCGAGGGGCGCCCGCGAACACCGGCGAGGCCGGGGCGTTGCATCAGGCGCGCTGCATCCCGGTTCTTCCGGAACCTGCGGCTCCAGGGATCTGCGTGACCCCGGGGCTGCACTCTGGGAGCGGGCTGTTCCTCAGAAGGTCCCCGGGGCTGCGGACCTCACGGTGGCCAGGCCGAGCTGTCTGTAGTCCAGCTTGTGGTCTAGGGCGGGGACGGATCCTTAACGCGCATCCGCACCGGGTCGTAATGGGAGGCGGCATTCTAGCCCGATGCCCATTGCTTCTGGTGTGCGCGCGCGCCTGCCTGCGCCCCTGCCGCCCTTAGGGATGGAGATGGTTAGAACAGCCACCTGAAACGGGGAGGGGGGAGGCCGGCGTCCGCATAGCCTGGCTTAGCGATGGATGCCAAAGAGACGTGTGTGTAGTTCAGCTGTTCCTGGGTCGGAACGCTCTGCTGTGGGCAGCCTTGGAGGCCCCCAGCCCTGCCCGTCTTCTCCCCCAGCATGTAACTGACCCCGTAAGTCTTAAGTGAGGTTTTCTTGGAAAACCCTTTGAAGAGAAGAGGGAAATGCCTTGTGTGAATGGTGTCTGTCTGAATGAGAATTAGGTATGTAAATTGAGGGCACAGAGTATCCTAGACCTTAAGAGACCTGGGTAGGCGAACGAATGGCTCAGCCTCCGAGTCACACATGCTGCGTGCGTGTGCACATCAGGAGGCTTGCCGGGAATCACAAGATCTTTTTTTTTCTGCTTCCTACATCATGTAGCTGTATCTTTCAGGTAGAATTGTAGAGACTTTCCTGCCATAACTTCAAAAACTATCCTGACTGAATGAACCTGACTTAAGTGTAAGGTGCTAATGTCAGATGACTTTGGGTTAACGTTCCCATTTGGTCTTCCTTGGACTGTGTTATGCCAGGACAACGTTCTCACTTCCTTTTGGGAAGCTTCCTATGAGTGATTTTGGAAGTGATGTTGATGGAGTTTCAGAAGACAGGCTATCTCCCTTCTGCAGTGTGAGAACACTCTGTTGGGGTGGGGGCATTGGTTAGATGGAGTGGACAAATGTTTCTAGGCACTCTGCTAGAGAACCTGGGTATGGGGAGGTGAGCCAAGATTGGACAGACGGTTATTAAGCCCATCAGTGGTGCGTTGTGCTGACCGTGCCATCCTTTTGATGTGTGTGTTTGAGTAGTTGGAAAATACCTTTATGTGATCAAGTTGACTGTAGGTGGGAACCGAAGACAGGGTTTATAGTTATGAGAGTAAAAAATTCTTGATTATTTTCTTAGAAAAAACTGGCTAATGAAATCAAAAGAGTTTGAGATTTTTATCCATTGTTCTTATTGCCTCCGTAGCCCTTGGACATGATACTCAGAATGGCTTTGCCCCACGGGTGTGAGAAGTGTGAGAGGGTAGTCACACAGAGCAGAGGGCAGCATGTTCATGACATAAATTTAGTAATCTGTTAGCACAGTTGTCCTCTGGATCACTGTGAATTCAGCACAGAGATGCCTTTTTTTTTTTTTTTTTTTTTTTTTTTTTTTTTGGGGATTACGGGCATGCATCTGTCTGTGCCTGGCTCCTTTTCACCTTAGTGGTGCTGTTTTCCTGGTAGAAGGTCACAGGCCACACAAGAAAGCCACTTAGGGGGCAGCAGGAGAAACCTGTCATGGGTGACAATCTTGCTGTTCATCCTCCAGGTACTGGTACCTTTTCTGGACTCTATACTTGGGCATTGTTGGTGACTGGAGTCTTGGGGAGCACCTGCTGGGTCAGTGCCGGCCCTCCCCTGAGAACCTGATTCCCTGCTGCAGAGAAAAGCAGCAGCCAGGCTCAGACAGCCCAGGTAAGCCCCGGAGCTTCCCTTGTCTCTGTTCCTCCAGTGACCAGAGCCTGGCAGTGGCTCCGTGAGCCCCCACCACAGAAGGCTTTGTGATTCTTGTGTCAGGGGACTGGTGCTTGCTGGTTTGGGTTTAGGTTTTAATTTTATTTGTTTTGGGGTGCCTGTGTACCTCAAACCTGTGTAGCTGGTTCTTGGACAGTCAGGGTAGCTGGTACCATTTGTCTCATGTGAGTGAGCAGTTTCAGAGATGGAATTTTCTAAGTGTGACTCAAACAGCTAACAGTGGCCAGGTGGGTGGAGAGGTGGGAGGCAGTGGGCAGGGCGAGGGACACGTGTGCCAGTTGATGATGGTGATGGAGGGGCTCTTCTTCCTTACAGTGTCTGCTGTTGTCCTGGCAAACTGTGCCTCTGTTAGGGACTTATGCGCAGCAGGCTCCCTGGCTAATCCCTGCAGCCACCTTCCCAGTTAGAATCCAAGCTTGGGGCTGTGTAAATATGGAGAACACAGATCTGTCCCGTGGAGCCTGGGTCCCTGCTGTCACTCAGCGATATTAGAGAGAGAGAATATATATATATATATATATATATATATATATATATATAGAGAGAGAGAGAGAGAGAGAGAGAGAGAGAGAGAGACTGTCTGTCCGATTAAGACATGGTCATACTCTGTAGCCCAGACTGGCCTGGAATTCTCAGTAGGCCTGCCTCAACCTCTCAAGTGCTGGGAGTATGCCAGCATTGAGAAGCTGTGCCCAACTAAGAGAGACAGTCTGTATGTGTACTGCCAGTGGAAACAGAATAGCCAAAAATGCAAGGTCAAAGTTCACAGTAGCTACATTAAAACAATGGAAAGGTAACATTGATTTTTTTTTTTTTTTGGTTTCTTTTTTTTTTTTTTTTTTTTGGTTTTTCAAGACAGGGTTTCTCTGTGTAGCTTTGGAGCCTATCCTGGCACTTGCTCTGGAGACCAGACTGGCCTCGAACTCACAGAGATCTGCCTGCCTCTGCCACCGGAGTGCTGGGATTAAAGGCGTGTGCCACCAACACCCAGCTCAAGATTCCCTTTTTTAATGTTTGTTTTTCAGTGTACATATGTGTGTTTATGTACACATGAGTGCAAGTGCCTATGAGTTTTAGAAGAGGGTATTGGATTCCCTGGATCTGGCTATAGTGGTTGTGAGCTGTTGACAGGAGTGCTGGCAACTGCACTGGGCCCTCTGCAACTCATTGTTCACATTTGTTGCTTGTAACCAGAATGTGTGAGAATTAGCCATCCACTATTTTTTAAATAGTTTCAGGAAATAATGACCATTGCCACAGACAGCGTTGCTTGTTCTGCCTTTAGCTGCTCCTGTACTTTTTGGGTAGCTGTCCTGGTGGCTGCTGTGTATAGTGAGCAAGCAGAAGCCGTGTGCTTGTTGTGGAATGTAGCTGTTTTGTGGGTCTGGGGTTCTTCCCGCCCTTACAGGAATGCACCATGCCCATAGTCGATAAGCTGAAGGAGGCTCTCAAGCCTGGCCGCAAGGACTCAGCAGAGGATGGGGACCTGGGCAAGCTGCTGGCTGCCTCTGCCAAGAAGGTCCTTCTGCAGAGGATTGAGTTTGAACCTGCCAGCAAGAGCTTTTCCTTCCAGCTGGAGTCCTTGAAGAGCAAATACGTGCTGTTGAACTCCAGGGCCGAGGGAGCTAGTCACCACAAGAGCAGAGATGAGCTGCAGGCCAGGAAACCAGGTACTGGGGCTGTGTTTGGACAGGTGGGTAGCCCTGAGCTGGCAGCTGCAGTAGCTTTGGGCTTCCAGGAGTCAATGGGCTATGGTAATAGATGTCATGAAACATACAGGGTGAGTAGGAAGGGTATCTACACTTGAACATTCCTTGACTGTGACCCCCTTCTTTAATGAGGTCAGAAAGCAGGCCCTGGGGTCTAAGGAAGTAGCTCAGCCATTGAAAGCATTAGCTACGGGAGCCTGCAACTCAAACCCACACAAATGGCAGATTTGGGTGCTCCAGTGTACCTGTAACGCTAGCACACCTTCAGTGAGATGGGGGAGGAGACAAGAGGACCAGAAGGAAGCTCAGGGACAGATAGCCTGGAGTAGGAGACACTCTGCCTCAGCACTGTGAGGAGTGAAGAATTGACTCCTAAAAGTTGTCCTCTGACCCCGACACACATGCCATTTTACTCTCGAGTACACCTATGCACAGTTAATTTGGGGTGGGGGCGAGAAAGTGAGGGGTGAAAATACAGAAGTGGGTGGATTCCTTGGTACGCAGTATGTCACAGAGCTGGGACCACAGGGGGGCTTCATTGAGCTCTGGACTGAGCATGGAAGGTCCCTGGGATGACCTGGTCTCATCTTTCTCTTCTAGGCACCGAGCGTGTGTCTGGAAGTGGAGGCGATGGAGTCCCTGCCCCACAGAAAGTGCTCTTCCCTATGGAAAGACTATCGCTAAGGTGGGAGCGTGTCTTCCGTGTTGGTGCAGGGCTGCACAACCTGGGTAACACCTGCTTCCTGAACTCCACCATTCAGTGCTTAACCTACACGCCGCCTCTGGCCAACTACCTGCTCTCCAAGGAGCACGCCCGGAGCTGTGAGTGGGCCTTACTGGGGGACTTTGCTGTGAGTCAGCTGAAACAAGCACTTTCCTCACTTTAACACCAGCTAGATAAACCCTGTGCCTAAGGGGCTGTCAGTCTATCTGTCTGACAGTTGAAGCTATTGGAACCTGGTGATTGACAGACACAGCGAGGGAAAGTTCACCTGGGGTCTCACTGAGGCAGGGTTATGTTCTCTAGAGAGAAGGGTTTTTGAAAGATACCTCCACACAGTGTCTGTTCCAACTATTTTATGTGTATACTGAACCGGTATGTTTCATATACATGGCAAAACATGCCCCAAAGTAGAAATTAAAATTGGGTGAAGTAACTGGAGCGCTGAGACTTACCAGAGGTAGCTCTTGTTATTCCTTCAGTAGCTCTCCTAGTGAGCAGAAAGGTGATACTCACTAGCTTGTCACCATCCTGCCTTACTAATGAGATGGTCTGAACTTGTTACCTAAAACGAAAGCACCTTGGGCAGCTGTGGAAATCATATGGAGAAACTTGGGTTCCTCCTGAGAGCACAGGCACAGTGTAGGAAATCCTCCCACAGATGCTGTGGGCTCTGCGTGCTGAGAGAGCCTCCCACCTGCCTGTGCCCCAGTTCTGCTGCAAAACAGCTGTGTCTCTAGAATGTTCTAGGGCTTTCTTCTGCCTCCTGTCCCTATTTTACAGACTAATACCAACTTCCGCACATAGCTCTAAGGGTGAAATGGATTCTGTCAAAGGCCTGGTGTGATGTCACCTGGCACGGGATGGCTGTGAGTTTTCCTATCTAGGTGGTCAAGAAGTCACTGTAGTGGAAGAGTAAAAGAGGATGCTCACCTGAAAAATGGATGGTGATGACAGCAGAACCTCTTAGAGTAGCAGGAGAAGGGCCTTTCCCTTCTGATAATGCACACAAAGCAGTGAAGCGTTATTCTAGATGGTGACCTTGTAAGTGTATTATAAGGGGTACTCTAGCCACGCCCACTTGGTATCCTCTACAGTGTATGCTGTAATGGACAGTGTAGCGTGGGTGGCCGAGTGACCACCTCTGTGTAAGACTGTGCTAGGGGAGGAGAGTGCTCTCAAAACAGTGTTCTACCCAGGCACGGTGGCACATGCCTTTAATCCCAGCTCTTGGTAGGCAGAGGCAGATCTCGTGAATTCAAGGCCAGCCTGGTCTACATAGTGCATTCCTGGCCAGCCAGGGCTACATAGTAAAATTCTGTGTTGAAAAACAAGCAAAAAAGAAAGAAAAACAGTATTCCTGCATAAATCACTAAACCCAAATACTTAAGTTCTTTTTTTTTTTTTTTTTTTTTTTGGAGAAAGATTTTTGTATTGAAAAACAACCAAGAGCCCATCCTCAGCTGGAGCTGAATTAGTCTCATAAAGTGGCTCATGGACTGCTCTTATGGAGAACCTGGGTTCAATTCCCAGCACCTACATGGTGGCTCACAACCATCTGTAACTCCAGTTACAGGGGATCTGACACTCCCTTTTGACATCCAAGGGCAGCCAGAATACACATGATACATAAAGACTCGTGCAGGTCAAATACCCATTACACATAAAATAAAAATAAATAAATCTTTTTAAAAAACCCAAAAAACAGTGCATGTAAGTATATTTCTGCTTCCCAGTGAATCTTAGTAACATAATGTCCAGTGGGCAAGAAAGTTGCAGAAAACACACAAGGTGTGTGTGTGTGTGTGTGTGTGTGTGTGTGTTCACATGCACAAGCAGATGATGTAAGCACGTGCAGAGGAACAGAGGCGTACACTGAATGTTTGTCACTTTCTAGCTTGTTTTTTGAGGCAGGATTGCTCACTGAACCAGGATCTCACTAGGCTGGGATGATGGGTTGGCAAGCTCCTGGGATCAGTCTGCCTGTCTCAGTGCCCGCAAGGCTGGGATTTCTGGCATAGGTGGCCATGCCCAGCATGAGTGTTGGAGCTTTGAAATCAGGTCTTCTAGCTTTCACAGCAAGCACCCAGACCCACTAAGCATGTCCCCAGGCCATAGATAATGAAACTTTAAAGAAAAAGAAAAGAATGGCAGAGGCAGGTGGATCTCTGTGATTTCAAGGCCAGCCTGGTCTACACAGTGAGTTCCAGGACAGCCAGAGCTACACAGAGAAGTCATGTCTCAGGAAAATAAAAAGAAGAAAGAGAAAGGAAGGCAGGCAGGCAGTCACGGGTGGAGGGTGGTGGTTAAACAGTTAGGAGTCAGGTCAGGCTGGATCCAGAGGCGAGTGGACAGGGGATAGGAATGGTGTTAACATGGTGTTGGGTTGCATGATGAGTTCAAGGACGTTCTGTTACTTAAAAGAGTGACTGTGTCCTTGTCCATCACGTGTGGGGTCTATGGTTCAACCTCTAGCGTTGCTAAAAATATTAGCAGCTCAGAAAGGAAGGACGGAGGTGCTGTAATTGTTTTCAGACTGTTGTCTTGACCTCATGGTCTTGGTGGTAAGATCCTCCTACCCAAGCCTTACTTAAGTGCTTTTTTCTGTTCTTTTCTTATCCATTCTTTTCCTGTAGAGTCTTCCTCCATTTCTGATTGTTCCACAGGAGTCTTTTCCAGCCATTTGTCAACTTTGTGGGTTGATTTAGTTAGTTAAATGGTGGAATAACTGCATCTTGGTTTGCCTCATGAGCTGCACTGTGGTGTTGGCAAGCGGGGCATACCACAGCTGTGGTCCGTGTCCTCTGTGTGGGCCACCTGTCCTGAGAACAGCACCTGCCCACCCAGGGACAGCCAGTGCTGGGGGTGAGGGGCTAATACACTGGTCTCAGTTCCTGAGAGGGGACTCATTGGTTTGGGTTGGATTTTGTGTGACAAGATTGGCTTGAAACATCATGTTTGGGGGCTGTCTCAGAGTTGAAGGTATGCCCACCAGGGCAACTGGCAGCTAACCTGTGCCAGGTAACCGAGATTCCGAGTTGTAACTTGAGTTCTCACAAAGTTGACAGATTCTTTTGGTCCTGAGATCTATTTTTAGCGCATAAGGAGAGCAGTGGCGGCAGCAGAAGTGAGACGGCAGTTTGCTAGGGGTGGGCGCCGTAAGCAGATCTGTCTGTCGATTTGTGGGATGTTTGAGCTGTAGGGCCAGGGGAAGAGCTGGGTGGGCAGTATGGACCCGAGGAAAGCAAATTGCAAGCGTGTGATATAGCCAGCATGCCTTGCTGAGTGTGTTAACCTCCGACTGTGATGGTATTGTTCGTGTGTTGCAGTAAGCACACAGATTGGATCAGTCACGCCTCATTCAAGGTCAGGGCCCCCATGGGTGAAGGATTGTGGGGAGTTGAATTGTGATAATCAGTGTTTCACTTAAGAGACTCCCAGAGCCAGTTGCAGCTTCTCTATTTTAAAGTCACAGTTTCAAAGGCAGGAATGTATCCTGTTCCATTGTAGTGTCTAATGAGAACCGAGCCATGGGTATAGAGCAGGAGGCAGGCCATCTGGTCCGTGGCGTGCTAGTCTAAGCTTCTGTTGAACTTGTCTTTGCTGTCATACGAATCCTGGGTTGTTTTGACTCTGCACGTGGAGTAGGGGTGTCTCACCCTCACGCTGCCTCTTGCCCACTACAGGTCACCAAGGGAGCTTCTGCATGCTGTGCGTCATGCAAAACCACATGGTCCAGGCCTTTGCCAACAGCGGCAACGCCATCAAGCCTGTGTCCTTCATCAGAGACCTGAAAAGTAAGCATGGGTTTTGGGTCTTTTCGGTCAAGTATCTGCCAGGTGCTAGCTCTGTGGTTGCAGGAAGGAGGAAAGCCATGAATGAAGTGTCAGGAATCCTTGCTTGTGGAAAGTCCCATACAGCGATGCAGGTAGTTGGTGCAGACACATGGGCTCCATGTTGTTACTGAAGGAAGGCTTTCTTCTGGGCACTACTTGGAAGAGTAGTTAGTTGGGTTTTAGCCAGGTGGAGAGCAGGTGAGCATGAAAGCTGGGGGTGGGGTGGGGTGGGGGCAGCTATGTGCTGACAGCAGAGCTGCTGTAAGTGCTGTGGAGACCCTGCCTTCCAGTCACATGGCAGAAAGGTTGTAACGCCCTGACATGGTGTGCTGGCTCTTGGGAAGGTGACCTCAAGCAGTTGACCTAGCGTCCATCCTTCCCTGCTTCCTCCAGAGATCGCCCGGCACTTCCGCTTCGGGAACCAGGAGGATGCGCACGAATTCCTGCGGTATACCATCGATGCCATGCAGAAAGCCTGCCTGAACGGCTGTGCTAAGTATGTATCTCACCTCCCCTCTAGGCCATCTTCTGAGAAGGCATTGGCGCTCAAGCACCTGACTAGCTGGTGCCCTGTAGCCTGGGCCGTTAAGCTCTGCAGAGAGGAAGGGCTAAGTTCACCTGTGAACTCATCCAGTCTCTCCAAAACCACTCATTACTTTGAAATAGAGAAATAAGTGGGGACTCACACTTAGGGAAGGAAGGAAGGAGTTCACACTTAGAGAAGGAAGGAGGGGGCTCACACATAGAGAAGGGAGGAGGGGGCTCACACTTAGAGAAGGGAGGAGGGGGTTCACACTTAGAGAAGGAGGGGGCTCACACTTAGAGAAGGGAGGTAGGAGTTCACACTTAGAGAAGGGAGAGGACTCACACGGAAGGAAGGAAGGAAGGAAGGAAGGAAGGAAGGAAGGAAGGAACTCACACTTAGAGAAGGGAGGTAGGAGTTCACATTTAGAGAAGGAAGGAGGGGGCTCACACTTAGAGAAGGAGGGGGCTCACACTTAGAGAAGGAGGGGGCTCACACTTAGAGAAGGGAGGAGAGGGCTCACACTTCTGTGAAAATGAAAGGATGGAGGAAAGCAGCATGTGAAAAATTATAATTCTTAAAGATCTTACTCTGTTTGATGCTAGGTGGTTTTCTTTTCATTTTTGGTGTTGTATCAGGGTCTGTGTGGCCTAACCTGGCCTCCAGCTCTTGATTCTGCTGCCTCATTTCCCAGAGAAGGAGTCCAGCAGCATGGCACCTCCCTGGCACTGTTTGCCCACATGGTCACTCCCCTAGATGGATACTCTGTGCCGCAGGTACTCCTTGGACGGGGCTGTTGCTCACTCATAGGAGGTGGCATTAGTCTAAGGACCAGCCTTGTAACCGAATCCTTCTGGAGTATCTGGAAGGTGATCTGACTGACCGAAGTGGCTCTCACCCTCTTTGCTGTGATCTCTGGGGCTGCTGTTCTGTGTTGCTGACTTTTTGCAGGTTCTTTCGTTAGTTCTGTGACATTTTACCACAGTTCTGGTCTCTGATGGCTTTCCTGTCTGTAGGCCTAGGTCCAGTCTCACCTGAACAGGCTCTTTTCTCTTTTTTTTTGTTTTTGTTTTGATTTTTTTATAGACCAGGTTGGCCTGGTACTCATATCCGCCTATCTCTGCCTCCCCAGTGCTGGGATTAAAGATGACCATCACCACCTGGCTCCTTTTTTTTTTTTCCTTTGAGACAGGGTATTGAGTAGCCCTTGAATTCTTGATCCTTTTGGGATTATGGTGTGCACCATCATGCCTGGTGCCTCTTCTTTCTTTCTTTTTTTTTTTTTTAAGATTTATTTTTATCATGTTTATGTGTGTGTGTGTCTGTGTGAGTGGATGTGGTGTATGGGGATTCCCATGGTGTCCAGAGGAGGCTGTCAGAGCCCCTGGAACTGGAGTTACAGGCAGTTGTGAGCCACCTGGCACGGGTGCTGAAGCAGGGTCCTCTGCAAGAGCAGCCAATCTCCCTTAGCCACTGAGTTTTCTCTCCAACCCAAAAGGAGATCCTTATTTTATCTTACTTTGTCTTTAGCGTGTGTTGGTTTATTTGAAGTTTTCTGTTCAGGATTTTTCTTCTGGCTCTAAGTGTCTCTGGCTGTTCAGTTCGGTTTAGACTTGGTTGTCACTCTTTTTCCCTGTACCTGGGGGTGGTTTTCACTGACAGGGTTCCCCTTTTCGTCTGTTGCCATTTTCAGTGCAGAACCCCTGTGCACAGATTGAAGCTGCCTGAGTCTTTACTCTGGAGTCCACTTGTCCTTTGCCTGCACCAGGCAGCGTGAAGTATGCCTTCTTGCATTGATGGCTTTTTCCAGAGTCCCAAATATGTCACTGCTCATAGTTTTGGGCTTGGGGGATATCCTGAATGTCCCCTTTTTACCCTTCCCCACCAAGTGTCAAGATGCCTGTCTGTCAGGATGTCTGTTTGTCCCTTTGCCGTCTTCGCATGCTTTCAGAGCCTGCTGCCTACACCTTCAGTTCTCATAGCCCCTGCCCCTGGGCCAGGTTGGAGCTGCATTTGAGTCTCTGCTCCAGTCTCTGAGCAGTTGCCATGAGTCTCAGTGTATGAAAGGGCTGTTGCACCTGTTGATGTGCAGTTGATTGGCTCTTTTATTAATAGTGGTGGTTCATATTTCTTCATCACCTATCATTGCACAACAAAAATTTGTTCTCCAAATGTTTTGGTGATGAGCATCTTAGTTCACAGTAAACCCTGGCACCATCATCCATTCAAGGGCATTGAACTGTTCAGCTTAGGACCCGGCTGGGTGGTGTTGTCCATAGGAGATGGCCTTGGGAGGCCCCCACGTGTGGGCTGAGGATGTAGCACCTGGGGGGAGTCAGCAGTCAGCTGGGAGCTGGCCACACCCTCCCGTTGCCATAGTCTTGTAGTGAATACTCCAGGGCTATAACTAGTGCTGGAGAGTGACTGTGGCAGGTTCAGCCAAGTAGAATGCTGAGCAGGAGGAACTACTGTTGTCTTGGCCAGGCAAAGAAGGTGCTAGTCAGTGTGGCTTAGTGCTGGCTGCCCCAGTGTCTTGTGAGCAGTGTCATAGAAGAGAGAGGGTAGGGTGGTTAAGCGAAGTTGCTTGCTGAGACGGTTGTGGGAGTGGGGGCCCAAGTAGATAGAGGTCCTATGAAGAGTTTAGGAATGCTTCTGGGGGCTTAGGGCAGCTGATCTGTGGAGACTAGAGGGGTGGGGACCTGGCTATGAATAGCTTGCCTCGCTGTGCTGTACCGTCCTCCTACGGCTGTGACTTCCTTTTAGGTTGGATCGGCAGACACAGGCTACTACCCTGGTGCATCAGATCTTTGGAGGCTATCTCAGGTCCCGAGGTAAGCAGATGCATTCTCTACCCTGGCCAAGCAGATCTGCACATTGAGCCAGGAAGTCCTCAGCGTCCCCAGATAGATGAGGCATGCCCCTAACTGAGAATGTGAGCACGTGGTGGGGGCTGGAGGTCCCAGGCCTTGTCTTTCTGCCTGGCTGCCCTTGTCTACTGTAGGACTGTCTGCTGAGGGAGTTGGAGACGCATTGTGTGAAGTGATGATGTAGCTCTTCCTTAGCTCTCCTCTGTTCTTGGGGTGAGGCCTGTATTCTGCTGCAGAGGGCTTGCTCACTGTCCTGTGGCAGTGGCCAGACAGATGGACAGGCAAGGCCTGATAAAAGAACCTAGCTTGATCCACATATGTGTCTGCAATTGATGGGACAGTCATCTTTTGTGAGAGATGACTTGAATGTTGTAGGCGCTGGCCCTAGGTGGTGCTCTCGTGGATCACGCTGCCCACTGCCTCTGTGTTCCATTGCAGTGAAGTGCTCCGTGTGCAAGAGCGTCTCCGACACATACGACCCCTACTTGGACATAGCCCTGGAGATTCGGGTACGCTCGGGCAGTGCTCTGTGTTCCTGGGGTGACGGGAGAGGGGCAAGAGGGCTCACCAGCAAGAAAGGTGTGAGTCAGAGTAGAGTGGATAAGGGCGCTGGGCTCTCCTGTGGCCTTTTTGCTGCCGTGTGCTTGCCTCTGCTGCACAGAGCACGGAGAAGCCCACATTTGTGATGTCTTGCCTTTCCCTTCCAGTTAAAGGGTAAAAAATACACCCTCCAGGGGGAGCAGAAAGGGTATGGGATAGGCAGGGTTTTAGCTGGGGGGGGTGGTAGGGAAGGAGGGGAGGGAGAGGGAACTGGGATTGACATGTAAAACAATCTTGTTTCTAATTCAAATAAAAAAGAACATCTGCAAAAAAAAAAAAAGTAAAAAATAACACTGAGTTTTGTGTTCTGGGGCATCAGCAGTGACAGTGGGGCTTGAGAAATGTGTGACATGCTGGGGACAGTCTTTGGAGTAGACAGCCCATTATTCCCCTTTGCTGTCAGCCTATCCTTGCCTTTGCTGGGACCTTGAGTTTCTGAGTCACCCCAGCTGCAGTCACAGCGAAAGATCTCACATGGCTGTCACCTGTCACCTCTAGAGAGGTCACTGTCTGCTCCTGCTAGTTGGGTGGGGGTGGGCTGGGTTAGCAAGGCCAATTTTTATGCAAGTCAGGTTTTATCACTTGCTCCGTCAGCCTGGAGAGACCTGAAATCTGGGGCTTCTCGAGTCAGGCTTTTTTCTTTTGCTGCTCATCCTGTTCCATTTTCGTCCTCCTCAGCAAGCTGCAAATATCGTGCGCGCACTGGAACTTTTTGTGAAACCAGATGTCCTGAGTGGAGAGAACGCCTATATGTGTGCTAAGTAAGTGTCGTTTGCTTGCAAGAAAGTGACCATTCAGGGTACCTGAATGAAAAGTTGCCTCCCTCAGGGACGGCCAGTGCTCACACTTCCTCAGTGTCCTTCATCTGGCTTATGGAACTGGCCCACCAGCAGCCTGAGGCCCATAGCACCTGTCCATAACTGCTGCTTGCCCCTTACCTGTCCTGGGGACAGAGGCTCCACATGTATTAGCATGTTGAAGAGCAGTGTGTTGTTTTCCCTATTGTCTATGGTGGAAACTGTCATGGAGAGGCAGAGGGTCTGACCCGTAGTTCCCCTCAGATGACACAATGGAGAACCCTCCACTCTGCTGTCTTGCATCTTAAATGAGACCTGTGTATAGCTCCTGCTTTTAGGGGTCAGGTCATCTTTCTGTCTTGGTGCAAACAGTTGTCCTCTGAGGCACATCCTAGGGTGCTGGCATTGGGGTCATCTTTCTGAAGCTGCAGCCACCAAAAGTTCCTTCACTCTTGTTTTTCAGGGTTCCTGTCACAGTACTGCTTTTTTAATTTGTGTTTTTGTTTTGAGGCAGGGTCTCACTATGTAGCCCTGACTGGCTTCACACTCACAGAGCTACCTGCCCTACTTCCTAAGTACCGGGATTAACACTGCATTGGGCTTTTGTTTTGAGATCAAGTCTCACCATGTAGCCCTGGCTGTCCTAGAACGTGCTCTGTAGACCAGGCTGGCCTCATTCACAGAGATCCACCATGCCCAGCTACATTGGGCTTTTTGAGTTTTGTTTATTTTTTTTTTTCTTTTTTTTTCTTTATCCCTTTGCTTGCTCTGGTCTGCTTCCTGCCCGTTTTTCATTTGTCTCCATAGTGCTCCCACCTCCTGTGTGGCCACATTGACCCTGTGCTTCTTTCCTGTTTCACAATCTTTTGCACCTGTCACTTAGGCTCCTGGTCGAGGGGGGGGTCTTCTTGCTTTGGGACTTTTGACTGTCTAGGTTACAGCATGTGGATTTTGGTTTTAGGTGCCGGTAGGCACAGGCCTTTCCTGTCACACCTGCCGAGCACTCCAGAAGCTTTTCCGTTCGCCCTTAGGTGTAAGAAGAAGGTTCCAGCCAGCAAGCGCTTCACCATCCATAGAACATCCAATGTCCTAACTCTGTCACTCAAGCGCTTTGCCAACTTTAGTGGGGGCAAGATCACTAAGGTGAGTGCGCCCCCTGCTGACATCCAGGCTGCTCTGTACAGGGAGAGGCCTTGGGAATCTGCATTTCTATCTTTAGAAATTTCTATTTTATGTATATGAATGTTTTGCCTCCAGGTTTATCTGTGCACCACCTGTAGGCCTAGTGCCCTCAGAGGCCAGAAGTGGTGTTAGATTTCCCTGGAACAGTAGTTACAGGCATTTGTGAGCTGTCATGTGGGTACTGAGAATTGAACCTGGGTCCTCTGCGAGAGCAGCAAGTGCTCTTAACTGCTGAGCCATCTCTGCAGTCCCCTTAGACATAAACTCACAGAGACTGCCTGCCCTCTGCTTCCTGGGTGCTGAAATTAAAGGGTCACAGAACCACCTCCCTGCTATAGAAGCTGTATCCAGTCTTGACTCTCTCAGAGGATTTATTATCGTCGTCTAGAGTGGTGACATGGTCCAGTGTGTAAAGGCACCTACACCAAGCCCAGTGACCTGGGCTCGATCTCTGGAGCCTACTTGGTATAAAAGAACTGATTTCTGAAATTTGTCCTCCGGTCTCCACAGGAGTGTCATGCCATGTACATGCTCACAGCCCCGTAGATAAAATGTAATGAAAAGAACCAAGCAAAATCCTCCTGAACTGGACATGCACACAGTTACTGGGGAAAGTGCTGTGCCAGCATCTTAAGGAGCTTAGGTCTTCTGGGCAGTAGTTCAGAGGACTCCAGTGTGTGAACCACTGGTCTGTTAGACTCTGAAGAGTATGTATTATAACAAAGTTGGATCAGGGCTATGAATCCATTGTGTATATATTGGTTTATTGAAGATGGAGGTTTCTGTCCCGCCTGGGCCCACAGCTGCTTTGCCCCAAATAAGCACACAAAGACTTACTTTAGTATAAATGTTTGGCTGATGGCTCAGGCTTCTTATTGACTAGCTCTGTCTTAACTATTAACCCATTTCTATTAATCTGTGTATTGCCACGAGGCTGTGGCTTACTCGTAATCTGGTATGTTACTCCTTGGGCAGCATGGTGTCTCTCTGTAGCTCCTCTGTGCCTCCTCTCCCCAGACTGCTCCTCATCTGGTCGCCTCGCCTATGCTTCCTGCATGGCTATTGGCCAATCAGTGTGTTATTCATCAACCAGTAAGAGAAATGTGTATATAGAAGGGACCCCCCCCCCATCAGTTTATGAGATTTTTATTTATTCTGTCATAGAAAGACATAGGAAAAGCTGGATCTGGGACACACGCCTGTGACCCCAGCACCTGGGAGATGGAAATGGGAAGGGAAGGTTACAAGATGACATAGAGAGTTGGAGTCTATCCTAGGGCACATAGTGACCACTGGCCAAAGCAGACATTTCTGAGGTTATGGATGTATATGACCCTTGCTCTCCTGAGAACATGTTACTTAGCTTTCCTTTTTCAAATAGGACGTTGGCTATCCTGAGTTCCTGAACATACGCCCATACATGTCTCAGAGCAGTGGTGACCCTGTCATGTATGGGCTCTATGCTGTCCTGGTGCACTCGGGCTACAGCTGCCATGCTGGGCACTACTACTGCTACGTGAAGGTGAGTGTTGACCTGACTGCTGGGCTTAGCTGAGGTGAGCTTGTGCTGCCTTCTGGGGCAAGTGGCCTGCACCCATAAAATCTAAATGAGTCCTTTGCACTTTTTGTTTTGTTTTGTTTTTTTCTGGGAAACATCAGTGCTTTGCATTTGTGTTTTGTTCCTCCTTTCCACATATGTATATAAAAGATGTATTTTCCATCATTGTCCCAGGGCCAGCAGAATGGCTCAGCAGGTGAAAATGCTCACTGCAAGCCTTGTCACCTCAGTTCCATCCCAGGGCCCACAAAGTGGAAGAGCAGATTTGACCCCTTTAAATTGTCCTCTGACCTCCACACTTGCATTGAGGCACATGCCCATGCCCTCCCCCCCAATAAATAAGTAAATAAATGTGAATTTTAGGAGTTTTTTAAGGTCCACAAGTGGGCATGGTAAACCATGCCTTTGTAATTCCAGTTTTCTGGGAGATCAAAAGTTTGAGCTCGGCTGAAAACACTTAGTGAGCCTCTGCCTCCAAATTGAAGAGTGTGGCTGGTTCCTGTCTGTTGACTGCTGTTTTCTGTAACCATCGTCTCCCGCTCTGCTCAGGCTAGCAATGGACAGTGGTACCAGATGAATGACTCCTTGGTCCATTCCAGCAACGTCAAGGTGGTTCTGAATCAGCAGGCCTACGTGCTCTTCTACCTACGGTGAGGAGCCTCCATCTCCCTAGAGTTGTCTGTGCCCTACAACACACTCTGCCTGGGCCAGGGGGTTTCTGCAGCCCTTTCCTGACTCTAAGCTCCTGGGAATTTGCTGGAGGGGAGATGGTTGGGCAGACCATGTAAGGAGCTCCTGTCCTGGGGAGGGCTCTGACTGCCTACAGCCATGGGCAGGTAATTGTTACTTATGCTGTTGCCTCATGAGGCCTTTGCCCTGGTGTGGCAACTTCTCTGGTGAAGAGAGCCACCTCACATTGGGGGTGGGCATGCATCAGACCTTGGGAAGCCACTAGCAGAGGCTGTTGTCCCTGAGGTGTTCTTGTCACTTGATGCCACCCTGCTGAGTTTGGGTGACAGATTTGGGGCTCTTTGGTTTTCTGGCTCCTTGAGGATCTGCTCCAGAAGGGCTCTGTGCCCTCACAGGCATATGTCCAAGGCTTTAGGATGTAGATGGGCAAGGCAGCCTCTAGAAGCCCTTGGGACACTAGTGCTCTTCTGGGTTTTGCATTCTTGGCACGAGTGGGGAAATCCCAATCCTTTTTTTTCCCCTCTGCAGAATTCCAGGCTCTAAGAAAAGTCCTGAGGGCCCTGTCTGCAGGGTGGGTTCCACTCTTCCTAGTCGTCCTAGTGTCATTCCAGATCACTCCAAGAAGAACCCTGGCAATGGGGTCGTTTCCTCCCCGCTGATGGCAAAGGTACTGTGTAAGTGGAAGAGCTGCTCTGCTTCTAGTATTTCAGAGGTTCGGGGGTCTTCTCTGGGGGACCTTGCCTCGTTGGTTATCAGCTGCCTTGGGAATGGAAAGATGGGACTGTAGGGCTCAGTTGCTGCCCAGGAGTGCTGGATTGGCTCCCAGAGAAACAACCACTGTGTTTTCTGTTAAAGCCGGTGTCCTGTTGTTAGTCACAACCTTGTGTTTTTTACAGTTCTTTGGTGCTAGACACAGACATACCCATGGGTAAAGGGATGCCATGTCTGCAGTTTATTCAAATGGTTCAGAGTGGAAATGTAGATGTATTTATATACACACACAAACATATACATACACAACAATGAAACTTAGTCATCTGTGGACTTGTGGATTTTAACCCTCATGATTAACCGCAGATTTGGATGTCATCACAGCTCTTTGGGAAGCCAGCAGCCTCACTTGCAGAGCTGCCCCTGGTTGAAGGAGGCAAACATGGGTATGCAGAAGCAATGGCGGGTACAGCCAAGAGGGCAAGACTGCTTTACTTGCATGATCCAGTTCAGCACACATCTTCCCATTCTGCACTTTCGTAAAGCAGCTTTTGGAAGAAAGAGACCAGATCCGTTCTCTATAGCCCAGGCTGGCCTTGAATTTGAAGTGCTCCTTCTGCCTCTGCCTGCTGGGTGCTGGGATTATAGAGATTATAGATGTGAGCTGTCACACCCAGCATCATTCCCTAAGAGATGTGTTCCTGTCAGGAAACAGTCTTTGTAAAAGTAAATTATTATAAAATATAGAAGTAACTAAACCTTTGAAAGAAGGCTTTGGAACTTTTGAATTGGTAAGAAAAGTAGCAATTGGCTAAAGTGTAACGTAAAGTTTTGTAGGTAAAATAAAATAAATATAAAACAGAATAAAAATTGCAAGGTGGTAGTGGCACATGCCTTTAGTTGTAGCACTCAGGAGGATCAAATTCGAGGCCAGCCTGGTCTACAGATTGAGTTCCAGGACAGCCAGGGCAGTTACACAGAGAAACCCTGCCTCAAAAAAACGAAGCAAGGGCTGGAGAGATGGCTCAGAGGTTAAGAGCTCTTCCAGAGGTCCTGAGTTCAATTCCCAGCAGCCACATGGTGGCTCATAACCATCCACTATGAGATCTGGTGCCCTCTTCTGGTGTGCAGATATACATGGAAGCAGAATGTTGTTTACATAATAAATAAATAAATAAATAAACTAAAAAAAACAAAAAACGAAACAAGTAACAAAAAAAACAGTAAAATTTTTTAAATGTTTGCAATAGGGGACTTGGAGAGGTGTTGCTTGGTGGTTAGTGTTACTTAGCTGTGTGAGGCCCTGGGTTCCAACCCCAGTGTATCCCCCTTCCCCTAAGCACACACATGCTCAAAGAACTGTAACAGGTGCAAGGAAGCTCATGTCTGTAGTGATCGCTGTGGAGGGTAGGGATGGTAGAGTGAGAAGAGCCGAGGACGCCCTGTCAGTGTGTAGAGATATGTGTACCTTCCACATAAGTTGAAGTTCATAAGGTGGTCCAAGGCCCAGGAATCCTGTTTCTGGTGATTATTAACATGGCTGTTAAGTACAGAAAGGGCTACAATCTTGATTTTATTTTCTTATTTATTTATTTATTTATTTGTTTATTTTTGATGTACTGACTGTGAGTCCTTGCATGAGCTGTAAGGACTGTGGTGACAGAGGAGAGAGATGCAGTAGGTATTTGCTCAGGCAGGAAGTGGCTATCATGACAGGGTTATGAACAGTGGATTGCTTTCATATGTCCTTGATCTTAGGATGTGGCAGGGATTTTTTTAGTTCATTGAGTAATGCGTATCAAAAAGCAGATTTTGATTTGGAAACTGCTGCAGAGCGCAGGATCGTTTCTGGTGATGGACATGGCTGCAAGGGAGGTGGGGGGCGCTCTGTTTAGATCTTTAACCAAGGGTAGAGAAGGAAAGCCCTCTGGAGGCACGGTGTGCTGTGGTGCATTGTGAGCCTTAGTTCTGGGTAGCAGAAGAAAATGGCTCCTGTTTTTTAATTTTTAAAAATAAAGATTTTTATTTTCCACACACGGGTGTTTTGCTTGCATGCATACCTGTGCACCATGCACACGCAGTGTACACAGAGGCCACAGAAGGCGTTGCCTGCCTTGAACTGGAGTTACAGAGAGTTAGCCAACTGTGTATGCTGGGAATTGAACCCAGGCTTCTAAAAGAGCAGCCAGTGCTCTTTACCACTGAGCCATCTCTCCAGCCCTCAAAACTTGCTCTTCTTGATTTCCAGGAGTTTTAGATTGACATCTTGAACTTTGAAAAATGGCTCTAAACTATCAAACATTTTGTTTGCTGTCAAGAGATGCATAGCTGCCAGTAGACACTGAAGACTTTGAGGGTGTCCCCTGTGAGGAAGGGTTAGCTTGAGCACCATGATGCAATGGGTGCGGGGAGACCCAGGGGAGCACAGTGCTTACAAGATGGGGCTTTGTAACATTCTCTCAAATCTTGGTGAAGCCCTGTTGCTTTCATAAAGTGTGACCTGTTTTGTATACAAATCCTGAGGCACCAAAAGTCCTTACCATTAGCCAGAACCCGGTTTGCTCCCAGAAGCTGCCCCTGATTGGTTGCCTGCTTTGGCTTGACCATGTTCCCTAGTCAGGGCTCCGTTGGGCTCTGATGACTTCCTTTCTTGCTCTTTAGCGACAAGACTCTGTGATGAGAAGACTGCAGTCCCCTGAGGAGGTTGGTGCGCCTGTGTCCAGGAATGGCTCCATGCCAGGTCTGAAGCTACAGAACGGATGTGTTCCTGCAAAGGCACCTGCTGGGTCCCCTTCCCCAAGACTCACCCCAACACCCACACACATGCCCACCATTCTGGATGAGCCTGGAAAGAAGGTGAAGAAGCCAGCTCCCCCGCAGTCCCTCACCACACCCCCCACCACTTCTCAGGGCTCTCCTGGGACCAGCGAATCCAGGAACCAGCGGCCTGGCTCCTGGGCCAGCAGGGATACCATCTTCTCTACCTCACCAAAGCTCCTGGCCAAAGCCTTTGCCAATGGGCCCAGGCTGACGGGGGAAGGCAATGGTGTGGGCCTGGAGAAGGGGGCTTCGAGTGGCTTGAGCCCTGAGCACCCTGCCAGCCGTGGCCCTGCCAAGGCCCCACAGACCACGGAGGGCAGAGCTGCGCATTTCTGTGATTCTCAGGGAACAGACTGCCCCACCGCCGGCCCTTCCAAAGCTCTGCTGAATGGCGTAGATCCCAAGATAGTGAAGCTGAAGTCCCCTGCCCTGAGCAGCACCGCCACTGAGCCCACAAGCCTCATGTCTCCCCCACCAGCCAAAAAACTGGCCCTGTCGGCCAAGAAGGTGGGTCTGTGGGGGTCTCCTCTTTGGAATTGCCTTGGGACTCGATGTGAGCATAGGAAGATAGGAAATCACGGAGGACCATGGCTTCCTTTGCTCCTTTAGTCCAGAGGGCCAGAATGCCTGCTGAGGGTCCCCATAATTTGTCCGTTGAGAAGGGGCTGTGTAGGGTGGAGGTGGTGGGTTCTGAGGGGACACCAGTTACTCAGCATCTCAGGCTACTGGTGGAAACTAAGCTAAGAGTACTAACCAGTTTTCTATAAATGGAGCCTGCTAGTTGAGCCACAGAGGAAGACCTGCGGGCTACCAGGCTGCTCAGGGTGGGGAGGACAATGAGTGAGATGAGGGTGGGGCTGGGACACTTGTTGAAATGTCCTTCCTTTCTCTTTATTTCTAACCAACAACACTCTCTGGTTCTTCTTCTGCCATCCCCTCTCCACCTACCTCCCCCCTCCCTGTTTTTTTCCTTCTGTCCCTGTTCATCTTTCTGGGCTCTTTTGTTTTATTTTTATTTATTTTTCAATTTTATTTTCCCTCTTCCCTCACGGAAACCTTTTTTAGACCACCAAGTTTTTATTTATGTCAATAACTGCAGGCCAGCACCCTGTGGAGGGCGACCGGCAATGACATCCGTTCACCTCCCCCCTCAGCATTCTCCGACCTCACCTACCCCATGAAAGCCACACACCCCGTCGTTGCCTCCACTGGGCCTGTCAGTAAAACCAGGTGAGCTGGGGCACAGGCCCCCCAGGTGTACTTGGCTGGTGAAGAGCCACGGGTCATCGAGGGCAGAGGTCCCCTTGTCCATCCCTGTTTGGTAAAGGAAGCTCAGTTGGTCAGAGCTGGTTTAGTCTTCATAGTCCTAAGTCTTTGAGTTTTCACCTGCCGGCCACAGCACAGGGTACCCTGGAGTGCTGTGCACTGTTCTGACTTGTACCCCTCAAGAAGTCAGACGCTCTGTGAGCCCAGAGGCTCGTGAACCCCTGCAGGGACCTCTTCCTGCCAGGGTCATGACTTGGTCTCCAACTGCGCTTCCATTGCAAAGCTCCATTGCAAAGCACCAGAGGCTCCAGACTGCCTGCCGGCCTCATGCCAGGCCTAGAGGAGGGAGACTGGGTTCTCAGGCTCCATAGGATTCTTCAGGGCCCTTTAATCTCATCTAGAGATGATCTTCCTGGTCCAGTGAGGTGCTTGTGTCCCCTGGGAGTGCTGCTGAGTGGCAAGAGAAGATACATGGTTAGCTGGGCTCATAGGGACCCAAATGCCTTGGCAGCTGGGAGATAAGAAGGAAGGAGAGGCAAGAGTGAGGTTCTGTGGCACTGCTGGGCTCCTCCAATCCCAGGGTGCTGTGAGGGTGGCATCTCCTTTGCTGCCTCCACCTCCAACATGACATTTTTGGCATGTTCTTAAATGTTGAGACATTGGCGGAATTGTTGATTCCTTGTCAGGTTTTTGTTTGAGACATAGTTTTTCTGTATAGATCAGGCTGGCCTGAGACTTGGGAATCCTCCTCCATCTGCCTCCTGAGTGCTGGGGTGAAAGCCGTGCACCACCACACTTGGCATAAACAGTCTTAATTACTTTTTAGATTTATGTGTATGAATGTTTTGTCTGCATGTATGTCTGACCATGTGTGCACTAGGTGCCCACAGGTCAGAAGACAGGAACTGGAGTGTGAGCTACCATGTGGATGCTGGAAACTGAACCTACAAGAGCAACAAGTGCTCTTAACTGCTGAGCCATCTCTCCAGCCCCAGTGTAAATGTTGTTTAAAGCTCCAGCAGACACTTGGAGTCACACTGGTACGGATGACACAGCTGGTCTGTTCTAGTTTGGGTGATGGCAAGTGCAGTCTCCACAAATCCACTTCCCTTTGCAGTGACCATACAGGCATGCATGCCTCATGTGCTAAGCCGCTCCTCACTCTTCTTACAGTGAAATTGGGTTCCCAGGCTCCATCACTGTGGACGGTGTGTGGCTTGTTTTGCTGTTGTTGGAATGCTCAGTCCCCAAGGGGGAACCCTGTGGCCTCTGGAGATTGGAGGATTGATCTGGACAGGATGTTTTGTTTATTTCACCTCTTGACACATTTGAGTTGAAAATTTGAAACATTGGGATTTGGTTCCTTTGTTTTGCCTTTAGATTTCATTGTTGGAAGGGAGGGTGTTGGGGTTTGGTTTTGAGATCAGGTCTCGCCTGTCTCTGCCTCCCAAGTGCTATCTGAGGCTCATGTTGGGTTGCCCAGCTGGTCTTGTTTGCTTTGTTGTAGTCCTTGCAGGACTCAAATTTGATGTGTATTGGAGGATGACCTTGAACTTCTGATCCTCCAGCCTCTTATTTCCTAAGTTCTGGGATCACAAGCAAGTGTTGACACTTTTTATTGTCTGTCAGTCTGTTTGAAGACAGTCTGTCAAGTGTTACCAGCTACACTTGAACTCACTAACTGCTAAGGGCTGGTCTTGACTGCTTGATCTTCCTGCCTCTACCTCCTAAGTGCTGTGATTGCAGGTACGGACCACCATGCCTAGATTAAAAGGAAAAAAAATAGAATTTATAATACCCAGATCTGTGCTGGGGGTGTAGCCCAGTAGTACAGTGCTTGCTTGGCATGCCCAAGGTTCAGTTTTCAGCACTACAAAAAAAGCTTTGTAACAAGAAACTGAGATATGTATTGTTTTTATTAACTTTGATTTTAGATGGACTGAATTTTGTTAGCCTGCCTTCAGAAACCATGGAATTTGTTTGTGTGTCTAAGAATTACAGAGACAAAATAACCTTTTAAAATTCTAGGGTAAGAACTGGAGAGATGGTTAAGCAGTTAAGAGCCCTGACTGCTTTTCCAGAGGTCCTGAATTCAATTCTAGCAACCACATGGTGGCTCCCAACCATATATAGTGGGATCTGATACCATGTTCTGTCTGATGTCCTCCTCTGTTATGCAGGCATATATGCAAATAGAGCACTCATGAATAAAAAAAATTAAAAAATTTCTAGGGTAAACCGGGTGTGGCAGTAGTCACCTTTTAACTCAGGCACTCAGGAAGCAGAGACAATTAGATCTCTGAGTTCGAGGACAGCTTGGTCTGCATAGCCAGGTCTAGACCAGCCCCAGTTACATAGAGAGAACTGGCCTTACACTCCACCTTGCCCCCCAAACTCTAAGGTGTGAAGGGAGGTGGGGTGTGGTTTGGCAGAAGGATGACTTGTGCAGATCGTCTACAGTGACTCTCCTGTACCCGCTGGCTGTCTACAGGGCTGTTACACCTGCTCCCCGACCGTCTACTCTCCTGAAGCATTCCATCCACCCCCACTCTGCATCACTGTCCAGTAGTAGCGCCAAGCCCTTAGGGACATCAGAGCCACAGAGCTGCCGCTCCTCTGCCTCGATGCCCCTGCCTCAGGTCAATGGGCACGTCGTGTCCCACTTACACCAGCCACCAGAGGCCATCAAGGCCCTGCACAGCCCCTCCAGAAAGAGGAAAAAGACCCCTAATGGAGATTCCCAGAGACTGGGCATAGATACACACCTCCCACAGTGCCTCGAGGGAGCACCTGCAGCAGCACGCAGGAAGAGGAAGAAAAAGAAGAAGTGCCTGGAGGATGTGGCTCACACAGCTCCCCAGCAGGAAGGCCCGTCCCAGGACCAGCCTTCCAGTCCCAGGGGCCGGAAGGAAGAGGGTACACATCCCCAGGTAAATGGCCATCAAGTGAGTCACATCCTGGACAGTCACCATGTGAGCAGCAAGAAAAGGAGGAAGAGGAAGAGATCAGAGGGACTTAGCCAAGAAGCCACCCTGACCCAGAACATTCTACAGCATGGGTAAGAGCATGGCTGTGATGTGCCCATAGCCTTCCCAGGTGGTGTGGGCTAACAATACAGGTTGGCCTTGTCATGGGGTAAAATGTGTCCTGTGTTAGTGTATGCCAGTTTCCCTCCGAGTGAAAGAGGACAGCCATATCTAGGCCATGCATAAGAAAGGCCAAGTACACAGGGTTCTTGCTAAACACACCGGGACACCTGTGTGTTTAGATAAGGTTGCAGCAACATCCGGTGTGTGCAGTGTACATACCCCAGATAGAGTAAGAGGGACCATGTGGTATCTGTAGTATCATGCTGTCGCTCTGGACAGCAAGCCTCACAGTGCAGCTGATTCCCTCAGCTCAGCGTGGAGTGAATCACCATTCACAGAACACTGCCAGCAGTCTCAGGAATGTGGGGTGGGGCTTTGTTTGCTTGTTTATGTGCACTGGTGTGAGGGTGTCAGATCCCCTGGAACTGCAGTTACAGGCTGTATGATCCGCCATGTGTGTGCTGGGAAGCAACCAGTGTTCTTAAACACTGAGCCATCTCTAGCCCTGCTTTGCTTTCTAAGTCCTTTATTTTTCTGTTTTAATTTGTGCGTGCTTGCGTGCCTGCCTGCCTGCCTGCATGTAGAGATCAGAAGACAACTTGCAGGTGTTATTTCCTTCCACCGTGTAGGTTCTGGGGAGTAAACTCAAGTTGTCAGGATGATGGCAAGCACGTTTAGCCTCTGAGCCATCTCAGCAGCTTTTTCAGAACATTATGTTTGTTTGTTTACCTGTGTGTGCGCGTGTGAGCATGCATGCTGGCACACCATGATGGGCACATGTGAGGGATCAGGCTCAGGTCTGCAGGCTTGGTGCAGAGTGCCATTAATAGCTGAGCTGTCTCACAGCCTTATAACTCTCACCTGTGGTGTATCTGGAGGGCTGACTGGCGCCCTCCTCTGGCTCCCCACAGCTGCTCCCCTGCAGACCACTATGAAACTGAAGTCAGGACAGACTTGCAGAGGAAGAAGAAGAGGAGGAAAAGAAAACACGAGTCACAGCAGGAGGAAGAAGAAAACGAGCACCCAGAAGGCCAGAGGAGCCCGAGGCCCAGTGTCACGTCATCCCCTGAGTTGAGAGTGAATGGCCATCTTTCTAGTGACCGCCTGGGTGAGGACTCCTGCTGACAGTCACAGAGGTGGCAATGTACTGTTCCTCATTGTCAGGCTGCTGGGAGCACTAATCACATGTCAGTTCAGCTTTCTGTCTCTCGATAATACCTAAGACAGTCATCTCAGAGAAAGGGCATGGCTGGGCATGGTGTCATGAGTGTA